TGTGTGTGTGTGTGTGTATATATATATGTATATATATATATGAGAGCAAGAACCAGGCCACCACAGCCACCTGATGTCCCTTAACTAAAACAAGACTGAAAACATCAATAGCAACTTTAATGTGCAAATGTCACAAAAAGAATGAGGAATTTCAAAATGCTTTTTCCTTAGATGTATGAAAACTTTCACCGTGACCAAGGGAAAATCAATTATTTCTGGGTGCCTCGGTGCTCTACAATACAGTATAAGACTACATTACATATAAAATTCTTTCAAGCTTCATGATAAACACTGCAAAGTGAGTGCAATACATAACTCCTGGGGCTTTTTACTACTGGTCTCATTGTCCTCAGGAAAAAAAAAAAAAAAACCTTTAAAATTTAAGGCCAGTGTTTCAGATTAAGTTCAGCTGTTTCTATTCAAAGACCATCACAAGTTCCTTAGAAATAAAACTGTGGGGCAAGGTGGTGAGTTCGATCCCCCATACCACGGAAAAAAAAAAAAAAGGAAAGAAAAGAAAAAGAAAAAGAAATAAAACTGTGGGTAGAGGGGCCACTGATTTAGTTCCTCTAGTTATTTTTCCCCTCACAAAAGTCATGGCCAAAAAACCCCAACTTTAATTATATTTGGTAAGTCTAAAGAGGACAAGGAATTCTGTGGATTTGAACTTCAGGAAGAAATACTTTGAATTTTACCAGGACAATACACCCAGAAGGAAAAAGCAAGTAACTTCAGATACTACAAACAAATGGGAATGAAAAATGAGACCATAGTGCCATAGGCCTACAATCCCAGTACTCTGGGAGGCTGAGGCAGAAGGATTGGAAGTCCAAGATCAGCCTGGGCAACTTAGCAAACTAACAAGATAAAATGAAATAAATAATTTAATGGCCTGGAGATATAGCTCACTGTGAAGTCCCCGGGATCAATCCCTCATAACAAAACCAAAAAATAATTAATAGGAGAAAAAAAAGTCAGTAGATTAACTGGCTGCTTCAAGACAAGAAGGCACATTCAACAAACATTGTTACACAATTCTAACCCCCATCTCCACTTTTATCAATGACCTAGAACAGGGAGTAAAATAATATCTGATGGGAAAGGAAAAATGAGGAAGTAGCAAGTCCACGAATAGAATGGCGTCTGCAGATACCAAGGAAGTTCAACCCTCCAGCACTCCATAGAGGAGAGAAAGAACAGTGGATATAATGAGAAAGTCTTCAGTTCTCCACTTATATCACTAAAACCTTGGCTTAAGAAAAGGGCTTGGTTTCCATTTTTCACCCACCAATAAGACTGAGCAATCTACCTGAAAACATGAAACAAACAAACAAACAAACAAAAAAATCAAAAGCAGAGACAGGATCCTTGAGCCTTTAAATGTCCATTAACACTTCTAAGGTACCTGCTCCTTTAGCAAAGGAATCTCCAGAATGAGGTTCTAGAAAGTGTGATGTGGAGCACCAACCCCAACCCCCAACTCAGCCAAGAGAGCCAGAGAGCTGCAGCACTTTCCCTCACCCCCAGGGAGACACACAACCTGCTCCCCCAACCTGTGCAACATGCCCATTTCACAGTGCACCCTAATCCAACCCAGGCAGTGCAGAGGCCTCAGCGGTTTATCCACTGGAAATATTCCTTTCTGTCAAATAAGGAGTAGTTCGTGATACACATGAAAATAAGACGGTATCTCTACGTTTGGGAATATGACAGTCCAACTTGCTATTGCTTTTAACTTCTCTGTGAACAAATCAGAGCCAGTCTTGCTTCTCTTAAAAGTTTCCTCAAATCCCACCAGAAAATATTCTGATTACCAATATACCCACACAGGAAAACACAAAAGAGAACTACCCAGCTACTGAAGTCAACTTTAGCTCCAAATGAAAGTTTTATGTCTCCTGAGCTTCCAAACAGGAAAATTATATCATGGCTGACAGTAAAGTAATTTAATTGCACTGTTGCTATGACAACATGCTGCTCTCTTTCTTTTTAATTTGCTTATTTGTCAGTAGCTTCCCAAAGGAACTAACATGCTATTCTCCATGTTTTCTTTTGTTTTAAACAAACACCGCCAGCTATGTGGTTATATTAGAAAAACGGCATTGGGAAGAAAAGGTTTCGGGGTACCCTGGGATCATGTCTCTGCCTCGTGTCCCATCCCTCCCCACCCCCACTGTTAACTGCTTCTCAGAAAATCCCCTATCTTTTAGTAACAGTATGGGCGGCTGCTGATCACTACAGTTCCATGTTTTACAAAAGGAAAAAAAAAAAAAACAAAAAAACAGTTCCCAGAAACCACAGCTGAGGAGTTTTCCATTATTGTACTCTACATAATTCCCCAAACCTTTTTTTTTTTCCTCCTATTTTAGAAGCAGGAAGAAAAAAAAAAAAAAGATTCTGGATCATGTGAGCCCGGAGTTAAGCAAAACATTTTTAATCTGCTGCCAATAAGTTGCTCCACCAGATTTGCAAATAGTTATTCACTAGTGACCTCCTTACAACTTTTACGTTTATTATTAGTTACATTCCCTACGTACACACACCCTCTTTTCGTTGTGTGTGTTTTTAATGACTTGCTGTGTCGTCACCTCCTTCCCCTCCCACCCCCGGAGAAAATGCAGTAGAAAATCTTAAGTTTCTTGCCTAGTATCAGAATGTCTCCAAATAACTGACAAAGACTTTTAAGGCCCAGTTCTCCACAGATGTTCAACGTGAACTTTTTAAAAGTTGAGAAATCCTCCCTAAACCGAATCCGGCAGTCTGGAATTTGGGGAACCCACCCCCCTCCATGCACGCGCAAGCACGCACGCGCTCCATTCCAGTCTACTGTACTTGTCAAAAATTTTTCAAGGGGACCAGGAAGAGCAGTGATTGGCTGCTTCTTGAGTCAATCAGCGGCGTTGCCAGGCAACGGGGAAACTGCTCTTCTCCGTGCACACAGGGCAATTGGGAGCTCGCATACCTTCACTGCCGGTCAGATGTCATAAACCTTTTATTGGCCGCACCGCGGCGAGCCTTAAAAACAAATCAATAAAAGCCCGCCGTCCCCCAACTTATCCGGAGCCCAAGAAAGGTTTCAAAGAGACGAGGCGAGGTGAAGTCGGGCCTCGGAGGTCTCTTGAGACCTTCCCAGCCGGTGCCAAGCTTGCACAGTTTGGGCGGGGGGGGATCTTTGTTAGGAGCCTGTTTCTCATCCCGGGGGTCTCTACTTGATCGGCACCCCTTCGCCGACCCGGAACGGCGGAGAGCCCTCCTCTGCAGACAATACCAACTCCGAACCGCTCGGGCGTCTTTTCGGAAACCGAGGCACACACAGGGAAACAGCCTGCACGTCGGGGCAGGAAACTCTTCGGCCCAGGCAACTTCCCCGCGCGGGGGCTCCGAGCGCCTGCCTGGCCCGGCCCCCGCCCCGGCCCTCACCCCCGCGCCGCGGGATCGCTCGTCT